CCAGCTAGCACATGTACATTTATCTGCAGGTCATGTTCCTGCTTGTGGTGTTCCTCAGCTACGACTGGTCAAGCTGCTGGCCTAGAGGGAGAACAATCAAAAAAGCAATGAGGCATGAATTCGACTTAAAGTCGTAGCAAAACGGAGCTTGGCTCGAGAAAGTAGAAAGGCCAAGCATCATGGAGGAGTCTGCAATCAATTTCATCCGTCGTGGCTTGCCACCTTGTGACCAGCTTTCGAGTCAGGATGTAAATCTCCATGAACGAGAGAACTTTGGCCCCTCGTTTAGTAATCACCAGTCATACAACAACCACGTAACTTACTTGTGTACCGTTGGTTGGGCTACGGCGCTCCGCCTAGCCGCAATGCTGCTTAGAGGTCGTTCAACAGGCAAGAGCNTACCGTTGGTTGGGCTACGGCGCTCCGCCTAGCCGCAATGCTGCTTAGAGGTCGTTCAACAGGCAAGAGCGATCGTCACCGGTTGGACGAAGGCCCCTTAGGTAAACCTTCACTGCAGGCGGCTACTGCATGTAGTACGACATGCACTCCCTGCATCGATATTGTGTTTTATTTGTTCAACACCGAAGTCTTTGAATGCGCAGTTGAACAGGTTGTACTTGCACTCAATTTACAATGCCTAACGGGGGGTCGTCTGCTCTAGATACAAAGCAAACCAACCCCCTGCTACCTGATGCTGGGCTGAAATAACAGGTCTCGCAGCACCCCTGCCTGCCAACTAGGAGACCACCAACCATTATAACAGACTTCCAAAGCTGACCGCCTTTGGGCTTGGTTACATAAACGCAGCTCTGTTGGGAATAGAAGCGTTGTTCCAGCAGCTGTAGCTGTGTAACTTCTAGGGAGAACTTCAGCTGCCCGTCGAACTAGCTGTATTAGAACTCAANAGCAGCTGTAGCTGTGTAACTTCTAGGGAGAACTTCAGCTGCCCGTCGAACTAGCTGTATTAGAACTCAATACCAGCCTCTTCGTCGCGTGTGTTCTTAGAGTGGTTTGCTTAGTGTATTGCTCTCGGCTTATCAACGTCTTTTGGCCACTTAGTTTAGACCGGGGCGTTCATATCGCCTTGCTTCCAAATAAGAGGAACCAACCACAGTAGTCTTTAGGTTCTGTTTTCGGTTTTCTTAGGTGGCTGGCCATATTACGTTCAGGCATATATTTTTAGGGTTAGGTGCTATATGATGTGTCATTCTAAGGGGTGTGTGTGTAATCACCGCTCGCGGCCCTTACCTCGGACCGTAGCAAGGTGCAATACAGCCACGGCGCTTAGGATAAGGGTTACCAAGGCGATGAGAAGGGATATCAGCTGGGCTTTGGTGCCCCGAGGGCAGTGCCAGAGCGTCGTGGGGCTTGCGGGGAGCGGATGCGCCTCTCCTCAAATGCTTCACCTGCTGCTCCAGTCGCTGCCTCAAAGCAACCGTACCTGCAAGCATGCCCAGGCTTCTTTTGTTATTGTCACTAACACCGTTGGCAATTGTCAAGCGCTTACGTGGCTTCCACTAGCCAACGTACCCAGAACAATGGGCTACATGCACGTAATTCTGCCAGAACTTGCCGCTTCATCTCCTCTTCAGTCCTTCAACACCACGCCACCGAGCTGCCTCGGCAAACGGGGGGCCAGAGGAAGGCAAAACGGGAGCGTGAAGTGGAGTGGCTGAGAGAAAAGCAAAAGAGGAAACGGAAGCAAAGTAGCTAAGGGTTGTTCCTGAGTTTTGCTGCAGCTGGCGTTGACCGCCTGTGGTTGAGCCAGGCCCGCGCACTGGAGTGGATCCCATAGTAGCAACTTGCGTAGGTTGGAAACCTCGCTCTACCGTTGCCATCCTAACCATGAAGGGGAGCACAGTATAGGCTGGCGTCCAGGTGCTGCACCAGAGGCTCCAGGCCCCCTCCAAATTGTGAAAAAAGAAAGTGTCTTTGGCTGCGCAGCAGGGCCAGTTGTAGGCAGACGGGGGGGACCATTATCACTGCTGACTAAACTGCTGCTAGGAAAGCGCCGCAAGTCATTTAGTCGGCCGCTTCTTTGTTTAAGTCTGGCTAGGAAATTTGAGTAGCTTTTTGTATAGGGAAGCTGGGAGTGTCAATCTTTCATCGAGCACGACGGAGCACACAAACGAAATACATTTTTTGGTATTGCATGCCTGGTGCCTTAGGAACCATATCTCCCCAAAAGGCAGAAAAATTCATGTGTGCCATAAGG